TGTAGGTGACCCTGCTTCGGCAGGAGGGTTGGACTGGGTGACCCACAGAGGTCCCTTCCAACCCCTACTATTCTGTGATTTTGTGATTCTGTGATTCTGCTCGTCTTTCTTCCTTGCCCCTCTCTCTCACAAGACTTCTTTCCTATAACTGCATATCTCTAGCCACTCCTGTATGTTTCTTCTGAAGGCTGGTATGATGTTTTTCAGAATACTTGCGTAACAACTGAAAATCCTCCAACCCTGAGCACGTGGGGATTACATCCCCAGTTGGACAAATTAGTTAAGCACGTTTTCAGGGTTGGAGGGTTGGAGGATTTTCAGTTGTTACGCAAGTATTCTCCATCCAAGTGCCTCCACGCTGCAAATTGGTGTGCTTGTGTAAGCAGTCCTGCTTAATTGTTAAAGTGTTTGGACTCAAGTGGTTAAGTGTAAGGCCCAAAGTTAATTTCTTCTACAAAAAAGGAATTTAGTGATATGGAGTTCATGGTTATGTTTGCACACGGTGCCAGTACTGGAAGAAATTATTCCTCATGTTATTGCAGGGCTGGGTAATCCTGAAAGCTCGTTAGCGTCTCTCTAACTTTGTATCTTAGTTTATGCTTTGCAGGATCAAGCCTGGTACAGGAGGAGGTATAGCACAGGCTCTCTCTGCCTGTAGGTCTGGGAAGTTGTGGGTGATTTCTGTTCCAGTTTCTGCCGCTGCCTGTCAGTATGAGCGTGAGCAAACGGCTTCCTCTGTATCAATTGTGGTCACAGAATTGCACTGACAGGAGGAACAGAAGAGAGAATTTATTTCTTTAGAAAAAGATTTGGAGCTTGTTTGTGGAAAGTACCCCACAGGAGTTAGATAGCAGTCTGTGTGTGTGTGCTTTTGAAGCACTCAGTGCAGTTTTTTTCTAAGTCACCAGTACACTTGTATGGCTCTGAAAGACGAGCTGTGTCATGGAGAAGTGATCCTAGTTTATATTAGAAACATGGACCTTGGTGCATAACAGGCAGCTAACTTAAAATAAGATGTAATTTTAATTTTTGAAAATGTATGCTCTTTGTTCTGTATTTTTTTTTACGATTAGAAAGTAAATTGACTTTTACGTAGGTTTCTTTGTTCAAAGCACTGTTGCTTAAAAGGATGCTAATAACCATGAAAATTCAGGAGCAAAATAGAAGATCTTCGATCTGCAGTGTCTGTTCCTCACTGCTTTGCTAAACTGCCAACTTGGGGATGTCTGGTGGGGTCTGTGACAAAATTGGTCCAGACATATTTTTCATTATATTTTAGATACTTTCGAAAACTGGAGCAAAAATGGCTTTGGCAGATTACTTCTCTCAGGTCATACTTTTAATTGAAGTAGCCAACTAATGATGCATACCGGACCCCAAAAAATAGATAACTAATGGTCAGTTGCACACAAATGTAGATAACTTAATATGCAGTTCTGACGTATTCGGAGTCAGATCATGAATAAATATTTGACTACGTGCTAATCAGACAGAAATGACTCTGAACACTGGTTTTGACAGTGTTTTGTCATGCTGCCAGTAGGGGAAAAAAAAAGCAAGACAGCTTTCCAAAACAGTAGGTGTAATACTGTATCTCTGATACATCATTCATGGTGTTTGCTTTGTTAAAGCCCATGTATAGAGTGGATTGTATGTTTTGTCACCACATGGGAACGGGGAAGGGATTCTGCCTTGATGACATGCTCAGTCTTTCTGTGAGTATAACAAATGCCATAGGATACTTTTGAGCACTGTACCAAACTCATAATTTTAGAACACGCATTAAATCTACATAAATTTCACAATCTGTGTAAATGGGAAAGAATGTATCTTGTGTTGCTTAGCAATGGCTTAATTGACTATATGGCTGCTACGTGAACTTCTCGCATCTTAATATCTGGACTGAACAATCTCCTTCTTGTGTTTGCCCTTTGAAGGCCCTTTACTGAAGTCAGTAGGAGCTTATGTGCAAAATAGTTGGCAAAAAAGAAGCCTGTTGGAAGAGAATAGACAAGAAATCCAGGCCTCCTTGGAATTAGTGGCGGAGAGTTATGAGGCTGGTGGGAGCGGGTGTGCGGAGTCCTGTGTATCCACAGGCATCCAGGTGGTTGTGAGCATCGACTTCTCAACATCACGTAGTAGCGTCAGCTTCCCATGACAGCATGGTGCTATCCTGGTACGATCCAGTATCCTGGAGATACTACCTGCCTAGCTCCAAGTACTGGCCAAGTTCATGTACTGCTATTCACCTTGCTATATACGCAGTATTTGGTTTGAACACTGATCTTTGACATGCACATGATTTACTTGTAAGTAGTCAGCATATCAGTTTTCCACACTAGAAATGAAAGTATTGCCATGTATCTTGTGTGCCTAGAAGGCAAAAATCTAACGCTTCTAAATGTTGATATTTTTAAACTTTCCTGTTTTAAAGGTAAGGTCAATTTATTTTAAGGGGTGACAATGTTTTTTATTATCACAGTTACTTTATAGGAATATTTTGTTTGCATAACTTTCCAATTTGAACCAGTACAAGTAGTTAAAGACAATCGCAACTTTTTCTAATTCTAATCTAAGTTGAAGATAAACTAGATTTTTTTTTTTTGGTAGGCCGTGTAACAGCGCTGCTTGCACGGGTCTGATTGCAAAACAAAATGCAAAGTGCTTCCCATTGATCATTTCAGCAAGGGCAACAATCTCCTGCTCTCCTTTTCTTCCTCGTCTTTCATTCTGAAGCACAGTAGCAGCAAAAGGAAAATATTCAGAAAGCTGCAACTGGGAGCAGGAATTGCTCTGCAGAGACCCGAACCTACAGACCCTGATTGTGTGGAGAAACGTGTGTAGCTATCAGGAGAATAGTCAGCTTGCCGTGGTCCAAATGGGGCGCTCTCTGCAAATAGCACTCAAGGTGAAGTGGAATAGGTCATTTAACTTCCCCTTTCGCTGCACAGGGAAGGCTGTTACGCCTTACAGCATGTTGCTGGAGGGTTTCAAAAGGAGTTTTTCCGATCATTGGGATAGGGGGTGTACCGCATCGTCTGCATCAAGGTTTCCAGCAGTAGGAAAATATCTTGTTGATTTCCACAGGCAACAGATAAGATCCTTAAAACGCTAATCTTCCTGGTTTTTAAACTGAGCATTAAGAGCGCTTGCTCACTTAATGTGCAGTGGGCTGAAAGCTTGCAGCGTGCAGAAAAATCCGTGGGTGAGGTATGCCAGTGTGGTTACAGTGTCTCTCTTGTGAAATACGGACAGGCAGCAGCTCACATTGACCCTCCTTTTGCAGCGGAGCTCTGCTCTGCAGGAGCAATCAGAAGTTCTTTCTTTCTGCTTCTTTTACTGCCTTCTGTTCTTAGACTGCACTTCTGCTGATAAGGTAAGGCAAATTTTTGCTGTGGAAACTGAGAGGGAAGGCAGCAAGCAGCAAGATTCATGCACAAATTTCCCTTCCCCACTTCTCATGTGCAAGATGCTCTAAACAGCTTCTTTGTTGACAGGGCCAGGTGAAACGGTGAGTCCTTGTCTGGCGCCGCTTGCTCAGCACATCTTGCTCCTTCTGCAGCTCTTCCTTGTTTCACAGACCTTTACAGCAGCTGGTGACTGACCTGTCCCCCCTACTCAGCTGCTGTCCCTTGCCTCATCACCCCAGTGCCACGAGAAGAGAGGTTGCTTGTTGAGTGCTGCTGCTTTCGCTCCCACAGCCAGCCATTGGCAGCAGCTTCCGAAGCTGTGGAGTCCGCCCTGAGGCGACACCAATGGCATCCTCTCCTTGCCCAGGAGCAGATCCTGCTTTGGGATTCATCCAAGGTCCTCTGGAGCTGATAGAAGGGGTTTCTTGAATTTGGCTGCTTTTGAATTTGGCTCTCCCCCTTCTTGTTACTTAACAGCAGGCTCTTTTCCCAGCTAACTCAAAGTGGGTCCTCATGTGGAAAAACTGAAAATCGAGCAAAATCATTTCAGGCTTTTTTTCCCAGTTCCGTTCCAATGACCGGTATCCTTGTAGTTGCAGTTACGCTGTAAGGAGCTCAGTCACACAGATCTCTTCCAGAATATAACTCATCGTCTTACGTTGATTTATTACTGTGAATGTGCACAGCCGCATGTGAGGAAGGATGTCTGGTACGCCGTGTGTGCAAGGCTCGTTGTGTGCCAGTCATACTTCCCCCCTGACCCCGGTCATGTGTTTTTCACAGCGTGGTTAATCACTGACCGTGTCTCTTGTGAAGTTTACTCATTCCTTTGAGTTCTTTCAGTTGCTTATTTAATGTCTGTTTTATACTTTCTCTTTAAAGACACCCTTCCATCATAAGATCAGTGATTGCAGCCCTGAGTAGTATTAGCATTAACCCCAAAATCAATAAAATGGGGTGATGGGAAATCCTCAAAGTATGAAAATGAGTGTCCTCCCCTCTTCGAGGCCGAAGCTTTGCTCGTGATGTTGTGAAACTGAACAGCACGTCCCTGTTCATTGGCTTTGAGGCTTTCCTTGTCCATGGTAGGTATAGAAATGTAGGCCTCTCTTCCAAGTCTATTTGTGTTAAACAAGCTAGACTTCAAGCATATTCTTGACATGTAAAGTATTGCTTTTACTGTTGTGTGGAACATGGACGACTGTATCTGTTTTGGATAATGTGGCTCTTCGAAAATATTTTCAGAGTAGCTCTGAATTGGAACCCAAAATCAACTACAACTTGCCAGTTTGGTTAGGGAATACTCTGGGTAATGAATTTTTTATGCGTAGTTTCCTTTGATCTTGCATGACTGAGAGCAAAGAGAAATGATGCTTTGATAGGCTTCAGTACGTTATTGCGCCGGCAATTGATCTTTGTTGATTTTACATGTGACTGACAGCTAATTAAATAACTGGGATCAGTGTTTCATTTCAATTTTCTCTTCTACAGTGTGACAAAATCAAGCAAGAACGAGATGAGGCTGTCAAAAAACTGGAGGAGTTTCAGAAAAGTAAGTTGACAATGTCAATGGGAATTCACTGGTATAGAGAGTTACGAACACCACTCTGCATACTCTACAGCAGTGTGAGTGCTGAGATTCAGGTCCACTTGCCATTTCTCCTTCAAAGCCTTGTGTTAAGGAGTTAATCCAGTGATACTTTGACCTCTGCCGGACTAACTGCTGCCACAGCATTTATACAGTCTGGCGCAGGTAGCCATTCTTAAGGTGCAAAGGGGTGAAAATACAGTGGTACAAACGTGGCTTTATCTCACCTGGATTCTGCGAGTGACTTTTGGAATGATACATGCTTGGATTGAGTGCAGTTTGACCCTATTGCTGAGACTGAGAATAATAATAATAACGGCAATTGTTTCATGATGAAAGAGTAACATTACTTTAAGCATAGGCACATGAATAAAGGTTTTTAGGATGAGCTGCTGTCTCTTGATAATTTTTAGGACAAGTTATGTCTTGTCTGAGCTGCGAGAATGTCAATATTCAGTTTTACACTTTTATGGTAATGGTTCTATTGAAACTGTATGGTGTCTGGAAGCAACAAAGCACATCTAATGGGGATGGAAGTATCCTAGTGGAATAGCTCCTTAGAAGAGACAATTACAGTAGGATTGTGGTCTGTTACGTCTGGTTTGTGCCAGTACGGTGAACTGCACAACGAAGCATCAGAAATGTGGACGAAGTTAATGCAGGAGAAGGAAATCACGTGGTCTGTACTTTTCTGTGACTGTGTTAATAGAGGAGTTTGCTGATTTCTATTTTATAATTGTTCACATGATAGAATTATGGAAAATAATCTAAAATCAACAGGAATCATCTACTGCCTTAAATGATCTTAGATAGATGTTCTGTGAGGCAAGAATGTTCTCTAAGAAGTCTAATTCCTGTGGAAAAAACTGCAGTCTGTTTTGTTTTTGTTATGATACGAGGAATACCAGAGTGTGGCAGAAAATGTCAAGCAGTTAAGACTTAAAATTTGAAGTAATATTTGATGTTGTAAAATTTTATAGGTTTCTTTTATCTTCCTTTCACATTTTTAAAGGACATACCTTGTAAACATAGTGATAAAATGCCAGGAATATTAGGATTTTAAGGCAATAATAGAGCCCATTATTTAAACGACAATATAAAAGGCAATTATATTGATGAAGAGCTACATCGGCTTTGTGTCTGTGAATAAACTTGGCCTGTACTCAGCTTCTATTTGTTCTCCTGGCATAAACACATATTGTGTGTGATTCCAGTTTAATGGGGCCCCGTTTGTATGCCAAGCAGCTGCATTTTAGGCCCTATTGCGTGATTTCATAGCTCTCTGAAAATTGGTTCTATTGAGCACAAGAGATAGAAGGTGGTGGTGGGGGGGAAAGCTTCAACACACAATCATTTCTTTTCAATTGGAGCCAGCAAGGTTGATGACAACATGACCATTGTGTTATAATGATAAGACCACTAAGGATCTGTACCTCTCATCAAGGCTTTCACACAACAGCAGATACAATTTAATTCACTGCTCTGTCAGCAGTGCTGATACCATTATGCCGTCTGTCTCCACAGTTATAATCACTGTCCTCCGAGAAATGCAGTTGAAATGATCTTGAGCAGTCAAAGAAACTCTCAATTAAGGCTGCCACTTCCAATGTGTCAGATTGTGTCTTATGCACTTGGTACAATTTTCACTTCCAATCCTGTTTATTTACAATGTCTACCAGTAATTACGCTTAACATGTCATTTAGCGAGGGTGCCCCTGCCAAGGAGATTGTTGGGTGCTGCAGTACCATTGAGTGGGAGTTTCTCGCAGTCAATGCCATCAGCGGCTTTTAGTCCCTGATGGGATGCAGTAGTAATGTTGATAATGCAAGTATCGTGCTCATCAAGTCATAATTAGATGCCACTCAAATGTGCCACTTGTAATAACAGTGTTGATTCATGTTTTCTCGGTGACTGCAACTACTAATTAGTTAAGTGGTTTTTGGTTGGCCTGCATTTGCTGCGGATTATTATTACCCCTGAAAAAAACTGTCAAGGTTAGAGATGTTTCAGGCCACTTAGTGCTGCTTTATGAATTTTAATATTGACATAATAAGAACTTTGGACAGACTTAGGAAATAATATATTTTTGTATTTAATTTGGAAAGATTTTTTTCCCCTGAGTTAATCATAATTGCAGGTTAATTAAGTTTAAATGAACCAAGAGTAATCCCTAGTTCTGCCATGTGAGCCCAATCCTTGTTTCCTAACTTTAGCTTTGCTTGAGGCCATTAGATTCCTGTCTGTAAAATGGGAGCAGCTCCCTATCTCCACTGCTTCCTCATCCTGCCCAAAGCATTTGACTCAGGATTTCCAGAACTAAGTAGAATAAAACCGGGAGAGATATGGACATGTACTACCTGGAGCTTTTCCTCTCAAATTAAATGTAGCGGCTGGTATGGCACACTTGGAGCAGATAATTTCTCCAAAGCCAGAAAAAACAGAAATAAAAAGACAACCAACGAAAGATGTGTCGTTGCTCTGCTGTTAGAAGACTTCATGTGAATAGAGTTTTTGGAAGATTTCCCAATACTCTGCCCTGATCTTTTTTTTTGGCTGCACATATATTTTGTAGGACTTGTTTCTTGCCTGCATCAAACTCCAATATATTGCTGGTTTCCTATGTTATTAATGAAAATGTCATCAGTTAATATTGACTAAGTATCAATAAAGGTGTGTAAATAACACTTGTTAACAGCCTGCTTTTTCCTAGCCTAAAGTCTTGTTTTGTAGTCATTAAGATGACCTCTGGATATCAAAGAGGACTTAACTATCTCTCTTCAGTATTTAGGCAAAAGTCTTGGAAGAGGGTACAAAATCACTAGTTTTTAAAGCTTATCTTCATGAAAATGAAAGAAGATACTAGAAAAAGTCCTTCATATTTACATTATGTTATTGCAGCCTTGTTCCTGTTCCAGAGTATAGTTCAGCTGTGAATAGTCCTTTCTGCACATTGCAGTCCTGACACTGGGCTGAAAAGGTATCTGTGCCAGGAAGTGACTTGCAGAATTAGGGACCAGGCTGCTACTTGGGATCAATGAGGGTGCAAGGAGCCAAGGAGAAGGAGTGTCATTGAGCAAGGTGCTAACCTGAGAAATGGGAAGCTGTTGTTGGGTTTTCTACTTTGCTCCAGATCCCCTGACCGACTTGAATCTTGTCACTTGGAAGCTGACTTTCAGCACTAGTTAAGTACCTGTGTACTGCTGGCAGTTGAGAGGAATTGCAAGCCAAAACTCACCTGTGCTTTTAAAAGTCCTCTAATTCACACTGGTATCCTATGTTACAAAATAAGATTTGTTCCATAACTTTTTGGTCACTGTAGGAATATTGTGTATCTTTGACATAGTGATGTGTACCCACTGCAGCAATAGGGGTCCTGTAAGTGCAAACGACAGAGGTGTCTCTTGCTCTTCCAGCTGTGGCACCGAAGACAGTAGCACAGTCATGTCTTTCAGATGCACTCTCAGCCCTGGGCTCACGGAAGATTGTGTGTCCACATGTGATGGAGCCCTGGAACAGGCTGCGCAGGGAGGTTGTGGAGTCTCCTTCTCTGGAGATATTCAAGACCCGCCTGGACAAGGTCCTGTGCATCCTGCTCTGGGTGACCCTGCTTTGGCAGGGGGTTGGACCAGATGACCAACAGAGGTCCCTTCCAACCCCTGCCATTCTGTGATTCTGTGTGCGTGCTGGTGTCAGAATCTGTGTAGGACTGTGAAGGCAGGGCGTGAGTCCACAGTACTTATTTTAGGACACGCTCAAGCACAGAGGGACTTCAAATAAGAAACAGCTTGGACATTGCAGCCATATAGTAATACAGAACGTGGGTTGTTCATCTGAGGTTGTCAGAAGTGGGGCAGTGCAAGCAGTGTTGGGTTTCCATCAGGACTGCATCCATCGGGGTGTATCCCAGCTGCTGCAGCTAGCGTCAAAGCTGGTGGGCCAGAGCCTGAAGAAGGGACTATGCTGTGCTCATGATTTGACTTCAGTGGAGTATGTGCTGTAGGAGGCACTACAAATATGGAGGCTTTGGGCACTTCATTGCTTTCTCTATTTCCTAGTAAACTTGCCCCCAGCCTGTGCTGTATGTCCATCGTGCAGCTCTGCTTGTACAGTGCGTTTAGCAAGTGTGATGACATTTAAAATACCATATAAACCTGAAGACTGGAAGGTAAAAATCACTTTAAGATGCCCGAGTCAGTCTTGCTGCTTAAAAATAGCAAGGTTCCAATCTTCTGAAAATGGCGTCCATGACAAATTTTGAAGAGGATTATGATGGCAGTCTGAAGGGACGGTCCTAGTTGTCTGACTCTGATTCCTCAGGTGTTAATGAAGTAAAGGTGGTGAAGGACGATGGTCAGAGAGGCTCCTGCTGGCCCTCTACTTCCACAAGTTTATGCTCAATTCTCCGGTTCCCCCTCCAATGCTGCAGATGTAGCTTGAGAGAGTTGCTTAGGGCAACGAACCAGATATTCAATGTTCAAAACAGTTCCTATCCATGTAGGTTATCTAAGTAGGTACTTGCCTGTATTTGAAATGCTTGCATAGAAAGTTAACAGAGAAAGATGTAGTATTTCTGATCATGGGATGCATGTGTCAAATGCAGGAAAATACTGACTAATTTTTAAACTCTTCCCCTAGTCTCTCACATGGTTATTGAGGAAGTAAACTGTATTCAGAACCATCTTGAAATTGAGAAGACGTGTCGTGAAAGTGCTGAGGCTTTGGCTTCTAAGGTGAGAAGAATTATGATGATTCTGTTTCATCCTATTTCCTTTTTATCTTTATTTCTTTAACTTGAGATTATATACATGTCCCAGATATGTTTTCTTATAATCTTGTGGATCTGTGAAATTGTTTTGAAGTGGCAAAAACCATAAGCCCTATGCAAGATGCAAAATACAATTCCTTCTTTTTAAATAAAAAAATACCCGTTTTAATTTAGTTTCTGTTTTGGAACAGTAAGTTGTAGACCAGCATCTTGATATCTAGTTTTTATATGCCTTTAGGTTAAATGGAAAACAAGTTTTAGAACTGTCCTGTGTGAGATATAAAACAATAATGAGCATTTCAGTGTCTAAATCAAATGGAAAAAGTCAACCACTGCATTACATTTCAGGTGATTGTTTATGAAAGCAAAGCTAGGGCAGGGGAAAGGTGACCTCCTCTGCTCTGTTGATTGCGTCTAGTCTGATGAATTTAGCAAGTGTGTAATTTTCTATATTCCATCTCATCAGAAGTGCATTATTATTAAAGAATGTTTTTATCTCTCTGTTATATATTTTTGGTTGTGTAAAATGCATCTGAGCCACTTCATCAGAAAATGGATTACAGCAATTTTGAACCAAATTTCATTAGCAATGCTGGCTGCCTTTTTTTTTTCTTTCTTTCTTTTTTTCCTTTTCCCTCCCCATCCCCTGCCCACAGTACATTCTTAGATATGGTAAAAATCACACCAGCAAGAAATCACTTTAATTTAGATGCATTAGCAATGTACTTTCTGGAGGTATTTACTTAATTGTTTGCATAATGACACTATATTAGAATTCATGAGATAGACAATCAGCATATAAGTAAGAAAATGAATGTATTTATGCAACTTTTCTTCTTCTGTGCACTTCTCCTGTAATGCATGTACAGGGGCAGTTCAAAGACTAGCTTTACCCCATGGGGCTGCTCTGCCAAAGCGATTTGTTTGTTGCTGTGAGCTGACTAAATAAGATTCCTTACACCACCCTTTCCACTTGCTCAGTTTCACTCTTTGGGAATGAGATGAAGAAGTTCTTGAGTAAATCTCCTGTAATTGAAGGGCTGAGGAAAAGGGAGATCAAAGATGGTTGCATTGGTAAAACTTCAGGGTCAGCCTAAGTGTTCAGTATCGTTTTATTTCAAGGTAAATATTTGACTTCTGAAGTGCATGTTGACTTCAACATGTTGTACCTCATTAGTAGAACATTGAGCCTTGTTCTTAGACCTGAATGCAGGGAGTCCTGGGCTGGTGGGTGGGCAGTCACCCCAACGTATGCCTGAATGTCCCTGAGACTGTGCTGAGCTTGCTGAGAGCTGCTGGCTTGGGCTGTCAAGATGCAGAACAGTGAAAGAAGTGGTGAGAGTGAAACATTTGCAGCAATCTCTGTTGTTCAGTTTTTCCTGGCGCCTTGGTCAAGATGGAGATGCCTTACAGAACCTCTTCTGTATCATCCACCAACCAGGCATGTGTTTAAGCATCCAACCCAGAGTGGTTTTTGACGTGTGGTTTGACCCATAAAGAACTGGTTTCTGATACGGCTTTCATCTTACATATAGTGACTCTGCAGTAATAATTTCTGAGAATTGAAAATAGTTCAAATTGAAAACAGTTCAAAAACATTTTGAGGTAATTCTGCTGTGACTGGGAGTATAGTAGTTGTGGTGTTTGTAGTCTATAAGCAAAATGAGGGCATAGGAGGAGGTAAGAGTTTTTATTTGACTGACTGATATAGTTGGCAAAACCAGACAAGCTTTCAAGAGCACAAGCCCTTCTTCAGGTCATTCAGTTAGGGCTCCTGTTGATGCTGGTACATGCTTAAGGGTAAGCAGCTGAAGCAGCTATTGCAAAGAATGCATAGCGTTAAGTAAGCTTGATAGCTGATTTGATTTGATTTGATTTGAACCTACATGGGGTATTTATTAGTCAGAAGTACCAGAGAGGAAAGAAGGGCATGGATGAACCATCATGATGAATTCAAGCCTCCTCAGAGGAGAAAGAGGATAAGCTTCCCATCTTCAGACCATTTTAAAGTTGAATGGAGCATTTA